AGTCTTGCGCAAGTATTCCACAGTATTGGGAAGACTCGAGACATTAATTCGACCTTCGAGTTAATCATATATCAAAAAATATTAAAATAAAATGACTGTTCTTAACTTACTGCCAGTGTGACTTAGGTTGGTAATTCCACTTCGGTCTCTAGACACGGATGACCTGTACACGGGTCTTGTGTAGTTTCGTAACCTAAGTACTTCAGTGGGTGTAGCATAACGATTTTTGCACATGTCAATCTAACCCCGACCTGACTACGCCATCCCAAAAATACGTCACTACGTCATCACATTCACGTCATAGAGCTTGTTAAAGTATTACTTACCGATGTTTTATTTGTCAACCATGAGGCTCTCAAATAAATAATCACGACATACGCCAGTGACGCATAAAATAGAGGAATTGACAACAAAGACAAATATAAACAGTAATGTTAGAAATATATTAATGATTCCCACCTGCTTCTTAGCTATTCCATTCCATTTGAATTCAGCTGCAGCCACGGCTTTGTTTGCGAAGCATCCTACAAAACTTCACTCAAAAGGATGGAAACGCCAATAGCATCGGTACCCATGCTCGCAGCACTCCGCGAACCTTTATGTTTGTGTTTCACTCCGGTTGTTAGTATGGTTTTCACGCTCGGGCGCCTTCAAGTTGATTACAAAACATAGTTGCCAACTATCTTCAGATATTTATCACTGATTATTTCCTCGTGTTTGTGTTACTAATATTACTGAGAGCCTTTTCATGTTGAATGTGCCTGGAATTAGTTCTTAATATTGTCTTTTTTATTATGCTTATGGCAACTACATATTGGGACAAATAATAGATCTGACGAGTAGGGAGAAAGTATCAATAGTCTCGGAGTTGGAAAATATGAAAACATGTCAAACTCTGGACACTCCAGAAGTGTGTTCACCAAGGTGGCGCACAACCTGATAACCCTAACCGTGTACACACACTATGTTCAGGTGGTGCGCCATCTTGGTGCACATACTTCGGGAGCACCAAACTCCGACCTCGCAGCCCTGAAAAATACACACCCGAACATGGCTAACTAACTCTTTGTCCGCCGTCTAGAATGAGATTGGCTCATCACCCTTTCCTCCATGCTGGGATAAGTTAGAAAAGGGGACAGGATATAAATAGATAAAAGTCTGCTAAGCAACAACTTTCTACTGGTACAGATTGTCACGCTAAAATATTATTTACATTTATTGCAGGGCAGCAGAGAATATTACAATTTAAAAACCTCCGACCCCAACATGATGGACGTGGTGAACCTCGAGAAAAAGACCTATACCTGGCCTGGAGCTTGCCTTTTCTCTGAAGATTTTCTACACATTGGCTAACGCTGGTCGGTTACAGATTTCAACACGATCAAGCCCATGCATCTGGCACATGCACAAATACCTGGCTAACTAATCCCATACCCGACGTGGTAACCGAAAGAGAGGCCGTGGTTCGCCATATGATAAAATCGTTCTTCGTTTTCTATGAAATCATATCCTAACCATAAGCAGTAATGCACTCGGCGTCATACGAAGCCCACAAAGAAATAATCGATCGAATTGAACCGAATTTTAAACATGGATCGTATAAAACAGTTCAACTTTACAAGAAAACACGGGTTGCCAACACTTTTGCTCGGAATAGATATCACCGAGAACCAATCTACTAACTCAGTTTGCTATATCACTGAGAACCAATCTACTAACTCAGTTTGCTATATCACTGAGAACCAATCTACTAACTCAGTTTGCTATATCACTGAGAACCAATCTACTAACTCAGTTTGCTATATCACTGAGAAGCAATCTACTAACTCAGTTTGCTATATCACTGAGAACCAATCTACTAACTCAGTTTGCAAACTGGGGGAGCAAACGATAAATTTCCACATATTGTAGCCAATATAGATCACTAAACTACAAGGCTACTCTAATCTAAATCCATGAACATTTGCCATATATCACGCAAGCTTAAGACCCGAAAGTACATCATCCTGTTTTCACTCCTGTATATTAATTCAATATCACAATGCTTTCAAGCTTAAAGCTCGGTTTAAGATTATGCCAGCATGTTTGCACTAACATTCCTGTATTATAACAATGCTTACAATCTTAAAACTGGGTTAAAGAGTATTTCATCGTGTTTTTTTAGTTATTCGATGTTACAATAGGATGTAATACTTTCATTAGCATGATTGAGTGTATACTTATCACTTCATTTGACAATATCTTTCAAGTCTATACGTTTAAAACCTATTCTCTCTCCTGACTATCAATTATTTTAGTATCTGTAATGTCGAGTCGAAATGAAATTATTATAAACTTAGTTTTGGAAACTTGCCAGAACTTCCGCCCTGCTTATTTCGTTTTAAATATTTAATAATAATCTAAGTAATAATTATCTTCCTATCTACCTTCTAAATTATAATGATATATCAGAGCCAGCTTTTGTTTCAGTGGCTTTCCTTGCCTTGTAAAATTGTGTGTTCAATCTTATTTATTTTAATTCCGTAGGCTATTTTTACAGCCTGAAAATAAAAATAAACTTGGCAATGAATATCAAAATCTGGCTTCCTAATTATAGTCGTACATTTTGTTTGCATTTTTATTTAATCAGTACGTTATACATGATAAAAGCTTTGATGAAATCATCCAATAACATATTTCAATCATCTAGAGAAGACATGGGCCAAATCCGGCCCGTTGGTTAATTCAATCTGGCACGCTTGATGCTACTACAACCAAACTGAAACCAGAATTTTTGATGTTTTAGCTAAAAATAGCTCAAAGATTTTTGTTGAGATTGTGGTTGAATTTAGTTTTGGCACGAGGCTTATTGTTTTCCACATTTTCTTTGTAACACTGTAAATATTGTTCATAAAATGTAGCTTTTTACGTGACACTCACATGGCCCGCCAGACTAGGTAAGCGGATTTCAATTTTTCAGTAAAAATATACGGAAAAAAGAAGAGAATTACACCAATCCAACCTGGTTCATAAGTGAGCTGTCGGTTCATTTTTCCCCTCCATTTGAAAAATTTTAAACATTTGACAAATAATTAATGTTTTCGAAGTACAACTTTAACTAAAGATTCATAATACAGAAAATATCGATTAAAACTTACTCAAAATTTATGAGAGCGAGAGATAGATATATATATATTTTTTTTTAATCAAAATACAAGCAGTCGTCAATGCGAAAATAAATGTAAAATAAAATTGCTCTGGTATTGAAAGGAGGTAGCGATACCGAATCAAAATCTTTCTCATTTGAAGTAATGTATGAGGAATTAATGTAAGTAATGAATTAAGATTATATATAACCAATATTGCTTTGTAAAATTTTATTCGGTTAGAAGTGTTTAAAAAGGTTGTGTATTGTCGGCTTGGTTGTTCAAATTTTTTATTCATTTTCGTGTTGAAAATTCAAAATAAAATGTACTGCAATGTCCAAGTTGTCGTTATTTTATCTTTGTGATCAGGTTCGCTTATGGCATCATTCGTCCGGCTCGTAGAACCTCCAAAAGCTCAGGTCTCTGCCATCTCCGTTCGGTTCATCGCAGCTAGTACGGAGTTGACCACTTCTACTCTTCAGATAAGATGCTCCATATGGTGTCGTAAAGCAGTGGCGGAGTGACATAGGTACCACATGATGGACATGGGATTTGCTGAGCATGGGGTTCGATGAGGACATAACTGGGCCATAATAATTGTAGAGCTCCATTATCTGCTGGTCAGTCAAGGGTTTGGACCACATGTCCAAAGATGAAACAAGTCCTTTCCAGTTACCTGTAAAGGAACAAAAAATAGTTCAATTTTCATACCAAATGGTTTCTAAATCCAAATACCTGTAAAAGGATACCAAAATTCTAAATTTGGTCTTGTTCAAAAAAAACATATAGAAGTCGATGTGTAGGGTGTCCATGAAGTCTTCACATTTTTACCCAACCTTCCAAATTGCAAAGGGACTTTATTGATACCATATTTTGTAATGACTCTCACAGATGTATTAAATGAAGTAATAATACTCAAATAATTATTGATTGAAAAACAACGAACCTGGTTATTAAGATATATTGAGAGCTGACCTCATAACTGAATAAATTGAAATTGTAACAGGACTTTATGGACACCCTGTATATTCAATGTGTTTGAAATAGTTGCGGAAAAGTTGAAATAAACTATGGTTGGTTCTCCATTTATAGTTTCTTGGAATTAGAAAACATTTTTGGTCATATCGGGAGACTTTATTTTCGCTAAATAATAAATTTACCTAATACTAACTTTTCTAAATTATTGTGAAATAAAAAATTCTGAATATCCTGTATCTGAATTTCAAACACAAATATTCCTTTTATTTAGGAAATTTGTGATTGGATTTTCAAATTTATCTAGGGGGTAAGGAAAAATAGGTTATTCACATGGCGTACCATAATTTAAACTGGTTACCAGCCCATAGGTAAGAGATTAGTTAGCCAGTTATTTGTTCCAGATACACGGACATGTTATACACGGACATACAATATGAGGTTCTCCCGTAGTGTGTGTACCAGGTTAGGGTCAGCCCATAATATTATTCCGTTTTTCCTTATTTTAGTTCTATTACGCGTTCGGTGACTGTCTCTGTTGGCCAAGTAAATATACCCTCTGTTTCAGTTCTATTGCGAGTTTGGGGACTGTCTGTGTTAGTCAAGTAAATACACCCCTGCCCGTAGGTTTTAGTCCCTTTTCACAACTTGATGTAAAATAGGCGAACAAAATTAGCTACCTTCATATTGGTACACACACTTCTGGAGCGACCAATATGATGTCTTATCTGTATTATTCGAATGCAGAAGTAGGAAATAGAAACATACTCAAAAGATAAGCAAAATCAAATAATTTACTATTCTGAATACACTAAGAAATTATATTTTTGATTACGAAATATTTAATATATTATAAATTGGCTCATTAGGTTGGAGCATTGGCAAAATTCTGCGAAAATTATTGTAAATTAGTAAAAAATTCAGCAATGCAAAATATATTGCATTTATGTGGTTCAGCATTGCCTTCACAAAATTGAGTGAGGTGTTGGACATGCGATTTTAATCCAAGATATGTAACGTGTAACTTACGATGTCGACACAGCAGTTTGACCGCTAGGCCAACGTTTCCTGACAAGCAATAATTAATTCATCTCCAAAGAGGAATTTTAATGTTTCGGTGAGGAACTAAGGAAATACGACTTTGTTTCTGGTGTAGTTTTACTAATAATATTTATTATTATTGTAATACAAATTTAAACACACATTATATACTCATTTTTTGATACAAAATCTAGAGTGCCAGTTGCATTTAAAACTAGCCAAAGAGCCTTTAACATTGGACAAATATTGAAATCCAGAGCCTTTATGCATAATGGGGGAGGGGAGCATAGGTTACAAAATAGGCGGAAAGATGAATTCATTTAAAAAGGGTGGAAACCACTGGCGAATTGCGCCAACAAAAATATATAAATCAAACCTCTATTTCTTCTTCCTCCCATGTGAGATCTTCCTATCCTGAGTGTGACATCAGATTCCATCATTTGGTTGCTTCGCTTCCTGTGATGAGAAAATGTATGATGAAGAAAAGATCTGAGTTACTTAACAACGGGTTCAAGAACTGTTCCCGGGTGGTATGAGACGACTGAATCAATAAGTTGGATTAAAGAGTACACTACCTATGCTTATGTATTACAGTGATTCGCTTATTATTGGATAATGCAATACAAATTTGATTCAATATTTAGGTAAATTTGAATTGAATAACTGGCTAACTAATCCCATACCCGGTACAGACTGGTAACCGAAAGAGAGACCGTGGTTCGCCACATGATTAGGCCGTATTATCGATTTTCCTTTCCTTCAGGATAAATAACTAAATCCTATCCTAGCGTCAGATATGAGGAAGTAATTGAAAATAAAACTCTGGCTGTGCTATTTATTATTGAGGACAATATCATTTCCGCAAACATTTAAGAACTACTGGTTTACATGATATCATTTGTAGAAAATTACTAAATTTGATGTCTGTAGAATTTTGAAAATTTTTTGACTCTAGTGTGCAATTGAGTGAATTCAGAAAAAAGGGACGCAAACGCAATAATGGGAAAGCTTAATAATTATATTGCAAACTACAGCCTCACTTTATGCGAAGCACTTTGCGATACGCCAACAGTTAGACAAAGTTTTTGAATATCATTTACTTAATTTTTGCCAAACTTCTTAATTTTTTATTAATTACTTACTTCCTAAAGCTCTTTCCCATCTTGATTCCATTAATAAACACATCAGCACTCGCTTCTCCATTCAGTCTTG